ACTTACACTCATTAACAAATTGAAATCACTGAGGAATTTAAATAACAGTTTGTCAGCATAACTCCTGCACTGAATTTCCTGAAACTTTGTAGGTATTTCAGACATAATGTATAGATTTGTATATTACCAAAAAAAAATTTTTTCCATTATTTATGTAGAAACTTTAGCCCAATTAAATTTGTAACATAGAAAGATTTAAATGTCCTTATATGCAAGAAGTTTTATGTGATGATTTTTTGCAAGAAATGCCCCTTTTTGAATTATACTGTGTATTTAAAATGCACTGTGCTATTCAGTACATGTTGCATTGTCGAGTTTTGGGGGAGCGTGGGGTATGTGAGCTTGCTCACTTTTTCTTTCATTGTTATATCTATGAGTGTATATTGCATAGCAAAAACATGGTCGCAAGCCTTATCAGCAGTAAATTATCATATTATTTGCATGTTAAAAAATATAATAAAAAGAATGAGTTTAAAAACGATGTTTTGTCGCAAAGAGATTGGGGGGGGGGGGGGAGTTAGGTTGGCTCAAATCCAATTTTCTTTACCAAAAAAAAATGCTGAAAATGAAAAAAGTTAAACAGAAAAATGAAATGACAGAAAGTAGAGAATCGCTAAAAACATAAAAGGTGGAGGGGGAAGACACCCCCTTTCCCCTTTTACATTTAAAAGTTACATGACCCCCCCCCCCTTTTCCCGATACCATACACAGAAAAATAATTTTTATCATTATATAAGCAAACTTGCATTCATTTAAATAAAATTTGATTTTATACCGCTTCATATCAGGAAAAAATTATTTTTAAAAATCCTATTGATTTTGTATATAATGTAATCATGTAATCACTATGATTTTTTAATGGAATGAACAGCTCTCAAAGAAGATGCGTGAATTAAAAAGGCGAGCGAAATGCCTATAGTGCGACAAACATGAAGGTGAAAAATCAATTATAACAAGATTTTCTTTGATATTTCATCTAAAATTAAAGTATACTTCATGAAAAATCTCCACAATTTGCAAATATCTCACAAAGATTGAAATTATTTGCCTATGAAATAGCATACACACACACTAAAAGGGCAAAAAAGATCATTTTCTTATACCATAACCCAATTTTTCGATTAGAGTGGGCCTTCGCTCCATAATTTTGAAAATTTATCCTCAAAGTTTTGCGTAAAAATATACATTTTTTTGGTTAACAAAAAGATGGAGCAAAGACCCAATATACCTTAAAAATACACCTTTATGACACAACATTCACATCTTTTCGAGAAATACTTGAAGTCCATTTAGTCCAGGGTCATATCACAAACATGATTTAAATACCACTATTCATCAGGAGCTGTGTAGCGCAGTGGTGTATAGTGTGTTAGTCTCAAAGAAGGATGATACTCGGGATTTTTATTGCTAGGGTTAGAACCATGAATATCACATTATTTTTTTTTAATAACAGAATATTTTTTTTTTCGAGAAAATTTTCCTTAGAAAAGTTTTGTTTTCATAATTTCATAAATTTCGACAATGAGAACTTAACTCTAAAAACAAAATTCACAAAATGGATATGATTTTTATATATATGAAACCATAGGCATTCTGCACGCCTTGTTCACCAATCTCCTCTAATAAAATTTTATTATTTTTTTTTTACTCTTTTGTGTTAAATAATTACCATTTTATAAATAATTCACTTTGAAAAAATATTGTGGAGTGAAAATTGTAGCAGGCAGAAAACGGGTTAAGAGAGGGACTATCAGGGAAAAATCTTTATATAAATTAATTTCTTTCAAGAAAAGCAGCGTTATGATTATTCATTTTATTAGTGCACTGGAAATAGATTTGGAAGTAAACAGTTTTTTTTTTCTAGCCTCAAGTAACCTAGATTTAAAATCCATCAAGTCATAGACTCTCACTGTTCCAAACGGGTTCAAAGTTTTACGTTGGAAAACTTATGAAAAAAAAACAACTTTAAAACATCATTTTCAAGAGAAACAATGTCTTAATTTGCAGTAGTCTTCAGGTAGTGCAGATTCAGCTTGGTTTCATTCCTGGCCCGGGGGTAGGTGATAAACATTATTCATAGGAATATGAGCATACATGTACAGGTATCTATAAAAAATAAGGTCTTCTTGCATCATGATTAGTAATATTAATGTGCAAACAACAATGCAGTGCAGATTCATATTTGTTCAAATCATTACCGGATTAAAATAAGTACATTGTGTTCAAATTCATAAATGAGAATAATCATGAATATAAGAAAAAAAATCTTTTAGCAGTAGCAGACCAAACTAAGTTGTATTCACATGCAAACCCAATTTTTTTATTCTTTATTTTTATTCTTCTTTTTAGGTCACCTGAATCACTCAGGTGACCTATTGCTATCTGTTTTCGTCCGTCGGCGTCCGTCGTGCATCGTCTGTCGGTCGTAAACTTTTGAACATTTTCAGCTTCTTCTCTTGAACCACTGAACCAATTTCAACTAAATTTGTCATATAGCATCTATGGGCGAAGGGAAACAAAAATTGTGAATTTCATGGTCCCTGCCCCCTGGGGCCTGAGGGCTGGGGCTAAAACCACCAAAATTAATGCAGTCTTTAAAAATCTTCTTCTTTACTCCTGGACATCAAGCAGTCAAACTGTTGGCATGATTGTAATAAGCATTGAGCCCTCTACCAAAATTGTGAAATTCATGGCCCCAGCAGGGTCAGGGGTTCTGGTGCTAGGGTGGGGCTATATAGATCATATAGTGAAAGTGCATTATTCCTTTGAAAATCTTTTTCTCTGCTCCTGGGTATTAAATAAAGTAACTAAGTACATAGTTATGAAGAGCAAGAGTGCCTCTTCGAAAATTGTGAATTTCATGACCCCAGGGTCAGGGGTTCTGGTGTTAGGGCGGGGCTCTATTGATTATATAGTGAAAATGCATTTATTCATTGAAAATCTTCTTCTTTGCTCCTGGGTATTAAATAAAGTAGCTAAGTACATAGTTATGATGAGCAAGAGTGCCTCTTCCAGAAATGTGAATTTCATGGCCCCTGGGTCAGGGGTTCTGGTGTTAGGGTGGGGCTCTATTGATTGTATAGTGAAAATGCATTTTAAAATTCTCTGAAAATCTTCTTCTCTGCTCCTGGGTATTAAATAAAGTAACTAAGAACATAGTTATGATGAGCAAGAGTGCCTCTTTCAAAATTGTGAATTTCATGGCCCCTGGGTCAGATGTTCTGGTGTTAGGATGGGGCTCTATTGATTATATAGAGAAAATGCATTAAATCATTGAAAATCTTCTTCTCTGCTCCTGGGTATTAAATAAAGTAACTAAGTACATAGTTATGATGAGCAGGAGTGCCTCTTCCAAAATTGTAAATTTCATGGCCCCTGGGTCAGGTGTTCTGGTGTTAGGGTGGGGCTCTATTGACTATATAGTGAAAATGCATTAATTCTTTGAAAATCTTCTCTGTTCCTGGGTATTGAATATATAAACTAAGAACATATTTATGATGGGCATGACTGCCTTTTCAGAAATTGTGAATTTTATGGCCCCTGGGTCAGGGGTTCTGGTGTTAGGGTGGGGCCTATTGATTATATAGTAAAATTGCATTAATTCTTTGAAAATCTTCTTTTCTGCTCCTGGATATTAAATAAACTAAGTTCATAGTTATGATGGGCATGGTTGCCGCTTCCAAAATTGTGAATTTCCTGGCCCCAGGGTCAGGGGTTCTGGTGTTGGGCGGGGCTCTATTGATTATATAGGGAAAATGCATAATTTCTTTCCAAATCTTCTTCTCTGCTCCTGGGTATTATTCAAACAAAGGAAGTGCATGGTTATGATAAGGAAGAATACCTCTTCCAAAATTGTGAAATTCATGGCCACTGGGTCAGAGGTTCTGGTGAAGAGGGGGGGGGAGGGGGGGACTCTAATTGATTATATAGTGAAAATGCATAATTTCTTTCAAAATATTTTTTCTACTACTGCTTATAAAGCAAAGAAACAAGTGTATAGTCATGATGAGCAAGGGTGCTTCTTCCAGAATTGTGAGTTTATGGCCCGTGGGTCAGATGTTCTGGTGTAAGGGTGGGGCTTTATTTATTTAATAATATAGTGAAAATGCATTTCTTTGAAAATCTTCTTGCTTCTGGGCATATTCGAGGCAAACAGAGTAAAAGTTTTAATATGCAAAGGTATTTTTACCAGAATTTCGAACACCTGGACCATTTAGTCAAGTGTTCTGGTCCTGGCCAGGGCTCTATTAACTTGTATTCTGTTGAGCAAAGTTATTCCCCTTTGCCATTCACCTTTCATAATTAATCACTGTTAACAATGTATTTGAAAGGTTAATAGAATTAAAGAATTATGCAAGAATATTTATTGTATAATACAAAAAGTACTTTCATAGTTTTAATGATAAGGTAGACTTGGAAATAATAGATGAATAAAAACAAGACAAAAATAACTTATCTTTTTCAATGTTCTTCAAAGGCCAAGAGAGGCCAATGTGAGAAGTAATAATATGGGGTTAAAAATAGACATTTTGTTAATAGTCTGCATGGTAATAGTGATAAATGGGGGACAGATAGATGCTAGACCAATTATTTTGTTGATGCTAATCATACTATTTTTCTTGCTTTTGGGCAACAAAGCTTCATTTATCAGTTTATGGATCCTCTTAATTGTTGTATTGTACTCAGGTGACCGTTAAGGCCCTTGGGCCTCTTGTTATTTTTCCCCTTAATTATTAAAGCATCCTTATGTTTTGCGGAGTCAGAACCGTTTAAGACATGACCCTTTGGGGCTATAGTGATTATGGGTTCATTTTTACCCAAGAATATGGGGGATTTTTTTTCCTGAAAAGCAGGGTAAATTTAATTTATTGAGCATTGTGGATCATTTGCCCTTTTCTAGTTTTGCATTTTGGGTAAAAGCCTTTGTTATATCTAGAATGTATTATGATTATTGAAAATGTTCGTCTTTATCATAAAAGTTTTATTGTTATAATTATTAGTGAACATACCAGAAGAAGTGTTAAAATGGGATTTAGAAGAAAGAAAACGATTTGTTGACAAAATAAATCAAGGCAGTGTCCCCATGTATCGTGCGAGATGTCTCCTAGTTGGTTGTACGGGGGCAGGAAAGACAACTGTACTACGTAATCTGAAGAGAAAGAAAGGAAAGGAAGAAACCAAACAACCAACAGAAACAACTATAGGACTGGACGTTCACCAGGACCTGTTTCTTATTGGACAATCTGAGGATGACAGTGGCAGCACTCTGTTCGGTTTGTCTGTTAAATTTTCATTGCATATTACATATATTTATTAATTTTTTAGAGAAAGAGAGAGGAAGAGGAGGAAAGGGTGGAAACATTTATTAAGAGAGAGAGAGAGAGAGAGCTACTAATCTATCCAACTAAAAAGTATTTTTGAGCGCCTTTTGTGCAGTGCAAAACTTCAAATATTTTAAGTAAATCATGCAATCCGTCGTGTTATTACGAAAACATGTCTTAGAAACCGCGCATTATATTTGTTTGTTCTCTCTCTCCAAACTTCAATTAGTAGACATTTTTAAGTTTCATTTACAACATTTTTGCTGAAAATTTATAGTGTAAATCTTTATAAAAAGTAATTACCTAGTTTAAATCTCATTGTTGAAGCTTAGAAAAAATCTTCAAAAGAAAGGTCCTGCTCACATTTGCAAGAGTGTTGTTGCTTATCTGTTTTCGCCTATCGTTGTTATCAATCACATTCGATTGAAAATCTTGAACATTTTTTTTCTTTTCCTAAAGAATTGCTGAAACTTTCATGATCAACTTTCAGCTATTTTTTTTGGTATAGAGAATTTATGGATACAGGGGTACCAAAATTGAATAACATTATATCTGTATCCCCTGGGAATATAGAGATGTAATACAACCATCAACAAGATGTGTTTGTGAAACACTAATGCCTCCGTATGGCAACTTATAGCAAAGGTAAAACTTTCTCAAATGCAAATCAAATATGTTGGTACACAAAGTAATTAATGTCTTGTCTCGAGGAATAAACCTGTGAAATATGAAAGCCCTAGCAGCAACCATTGAATAGATATGGAAAAGATTAAAGTTTTTTTTTCAAAAGTATGTCAAACATCAAGGTCAAGGTCAAATGGTCAAAATAAATTGTGCCTTAATTGAAAGGCCTTCTCCCAAGAAAAACACAGGTGAAATATGAAAGCCAAAGCAACAATCTTTCAAAAGTTATGACCAAGTTAAAGTTTTCCAAAAGTAGGTAAAACTCCAAGGTCAAGGTCAAAGGGTCAAAGTTGTTGGTATCTAAAGTAAGGTCTCCTCACAAGGATTACATATGTGAAGTACGAAAGCCCTAGCACCAGCCGTTTAAAGGTTATGGCAAAGGTTAAAGTTTTCCAAAAGTAGGTCAAACTACAAGATCAAGGTCAAAGAGTCTAAGGTGTTGGTATCCAAAGGAAGGTCTTTTCGCAAGGATTACACTTGTGAAGTATGAACGCCCTAGCAACAATTGTTCAAAAGTTATGGCAAGGTTAAAGTTTGGTAAAGTTTTGCAAAACTAGGTCAAACTCCAGGGTCAAATTTAATTTTGGTGGTATCCAAAGGAAGGTCTTGTCACAAGGATTTCATATGTAAAGTATGAAAGCCCCAGCTCCAACTGTTCAAAAGTTATGGCCAAGGTCCAAATTTGGTAAAATTTTGCAAAACTGGGTGAAGCTCCAAGGTCAAGGGCAAAAGGTCAAATATGGTGGTATCCAAAGAAAGGTCTCGTCACAAGCACATGTGAAATATAAAAAACCATAGCTCTAACCAATCAAAACTAATAGGCAAGGTTAAAGTTTTTGCGGAAAAACAGACAGACAGACAGACTGACGGACAGGTCAAAAACTATATACCCCGAATCTTCGATACGGGGCATAAAAATACTGGTTAACTCGTTCGTTCCATCTATAGCAATAGCGACAGACTTTGTGCAACCAATTCATTGTTTTCTGGCAGAAAGCACTTTTACAAGAGCGAGGAACAAATTCTTGAAAGTTTCAAAAACACAACTAGACTTGGTTACAAGCAACTCTGAATTTTCATTAAGCTTTTCCGAGCCAACTGCAAGAATATAAGAGGAAAAAATTATAGATGTAGCAATAACGATATGTTTAGAACGTCTTTGTTACGGGGTGACATAAAATAACGTGCAGTGATAAAATGTACAAGTATATCATCATCAACATCATCAAAGTTTATGTACATTAAAAGAATTTATACATAATTTTTTAGACTATGAAGGAAATGCATCTCCGATTAGTGAAAATGACAGCAAAGAATTACTAAGTGTGATGGACTTTGCAGGACAAGTGGCATATTATGCTTGTCATCAGGTCTACTTATCACGCAGAGCAATATACCTATTAGTCGTAGACATGACCCAGGATCTAACAACTAAACTACAACAAGATGACAGAAACTGTGTTCTCGGCACTCTTTTCGAAGACTGGACTGCACTAGGTGACTGTTTTAGCTTTCTAACGTCTTTTATTTTCATTTATCATACTTCTTTACATCAATAGAAATAAATCGTAATGTTGATTATTATTTCAGAATTATGTGCTTATACTAAAATAATATTTATTTTTTAACTCCACTTCATTATTTAGATTATTTCACATTCTGGCTACAGACTATTCGAACATATGGTCAGGAAGATGGGGGCAAACGTTATAACACGAAATCTTACGACCCAGAAAGTAGTGAACGCGAGAAAATTTTGACGCCTATCATTGTACTAGCAACGCACAGAGATTCGTACAAATATTCAAAGGTATTTTTATATATCTGATAAAAAGATAACTGGAACTATTTTATTTTGAGTAAAGGTGATGGCGAAGGAATTTAAATATATATTTTATCCAAACACAGTTGTAATGTAAATAGCTCATCAATCCATATCATATGATGCCAAGATCTGTACAGTAAATCTCGTTTTGTACAAACCCACCTGGATATAGCAAATGGACCGATAAAGCGAAGTTTGGAACCCCTGCAAAATTCAAAACAAATTCTTGCAAAATTTAGTTTCATAACTTAATCGATTCTAAGAATTAAAGAATATAATTATTTAATTTTGAATCATGTAGAGGTTAAAATTAATAATTTAAAAAAAAAAAATCATTTTATAGCAATTTCTTAAAGATTTTAAAATTCCAAATATTTTCTTTGTTTTATAAGCTCTTATATTTGAAAATTTATTCATCAGGATTGTAACAGCTACATTTAACCAAATCTAAAAATTGTTTAGATTAATTAGGTTTTTTTCATGATATGTTGAATCTACACAAATTACACAATAACGATCGTGGTAACTATTTCGAGTATGTGCATTTATAGGAAACCATTCAAAAAGTTCGTTCTGACGAAAAAAAGGACCAATGTTTTAAGTATTCCTTGTAAATGTAGATTCAAGTGTGAACATTTCATGGTCTTATGTTGTCTTATGATTTCACAAGAAGGGGCTATACTTATACATTAGAACAACATTCGTTATAACGTTATTCTCCAGAACAGAATGACAAATTATATTCATGTTGCCTTTAATTATAACCCCACCAATGATATGAGGCCTATAAAGGTGATCATCATTTTATGGTGGAATATAGAGGGGGTACCTGTTCAATATCTTTAAAAATGATAGGACAATAACTAATTATTTGTAATATTCAAATAGTCCTATACATGTGCGTATTGTAGGTTTAAATTTTCATTAATTCTATGTCAAGTTAGTGCAAAATTATCAAAGATCCATGTTCTTGTATGGATGTAAAATCTATACTTTTATTCAGGAAAACAATGCTATAATAAAAAGGTAGAATTGTAAAGATCATGGACTTCTAGTTGAGGACTTGAAGGGAGAGGGCTATATGTATCTAGATAATTATTTGCTTTGCAGCTATATACGTCTTATGAAAGGGCCTCAGTCCTTTAAGAAAATATTCCCATATATCTATAAATATGTTGAAAAAACTAATTGATTTAACATGTTCAGGCCTACGAAGAGGATACATCTGCATATGGAAGTTTTTACGTCAAGCTACGGAAACAAATTCCAGAAAATATTAAAAACCTTGTTTGTAAGCACTTTGAACTGGAACTTCCTCCACAAAAAAGATCAAAAGAAGAGCTTCGAGAACTTGAAAAAGTTAGACGCTACATTGCAAAAACAACAAAATCACTTTCGCACTGGGGCGAAAAAGTACCGAAACAGTGGTCTGACTTCGAAGAAATTATTCGAGAAAAACAAGGATTAAAAATATCATCTCGGGAGGAGCTAAAGAAATTTTCAGAATACTTTTTGGAAGACGACTTTAATGATATGCTGAAATTCTATCATGAAATTGGAATGATTCTGTATTTTCCGGATTTAGGACCTGATGTCATTCTGGACATTCAGTGGTTTGTTGATGCATTTAAATACATTATAACTGATCGGAAGCATGTATCGATAGAAATGGCTACCGACGAATATTGGGATAAATATTTTGATGGTGGTGTGATAACAGAATCATTGATGCTCAAGATATGGGAGGAGAAGATTGGCAGGGATTCCCTTTATGACAGATACCTGAATAGGATTACACCTTTCATGGAGAAACTTGGAATTCTTGCGAAAATGGATATGAAATACACACAACAAAATCAATGCTACTATGTCCCAAGCATGAACAAGAGGCATTTAGAAAAAGGGGAAAACTGGACCGAATGGGAAAAAACACCAATTATATCATTCTATTTCAAAACGTATTTACCCCACTTCTTCTTCTTTCGCCTAGTAGTTGCATGTTTTGCATTTTGGGATGCCAAAGAAGACAATTTGTACAAAAATTTAGCATTATTCAAAGGGACTGAAAAAGACGAGTACCACACTGTTGTTATTGCAGTCAATAAAACGTCAATTCAACTGCAGGTACTTACTCCAGGAAATGACATACCACTATGTAAGGAAAGAACAAGAGAAATCCGTTTACAGATAGAAAAGAAAATAGCAGAGCTAACAAAAACATTTCATGGAAATGTAGAATATGAGATCGGCTTCCCTTGTCCATGTGAACCTTTTTTCATTACACAGGAAGATGAAAAACGTTTTATTTCTGAAAGGGAGCTTCAAGAAATTTCTACAGAAAATCCACCATGTCCTAGGTGCGACGTTTTTTCCAAAAAAAGAATAAAAGTAAAAGAACTTTTGGAGATTTGGGGGAAAAGTAAGTCGAAAATATCATTTAGCAAGTGGAATTTACAATTTATTTTTAAATTTTGAGAAAAAAATGTGAATATGATTCAACAAATTCGACAAAATAAAAAGGAGACATGCAAATCAATAAAACAAAACAAACAAAGAAATATTTAAAATATTTAAAAATTAACTTTCGAAAAAGGTTTCCTGTTGAAGCGTTTTGTGGTTTGAAATAATAAAGATCACAATAAAATAAAACCGAAATCTATGCATAATGAACAACATTTACACCCTTTATAAATGGTTATTTTTACCTATTTTGAAAACCAAATGAAGTGATCAATAACATTTTTTCAACATTCCAATTTTTTTGAATGTTAAAAAATGATTAACAGCAACAACTATGCTTCTTTTAAAACTTTAAGATTAAAAAATCCATTTAGTACAGGTGGTGTAGGTTTGTATGTTTGTATTGTCTGAATATGATTATTTACGTTTATTTCAGAGGCTTAAGAAGGACTGTCAATTCCAAGAACATGGATGATTGGATGTTACATACATTTCCGTCTCGGAGCAGAATTTGTTTCCATAATTCAAAAATGTATCAATGATCATAGCTGAAAAAATAATTCATGTAAGGAGTTGATATCGAACATCATATATCGATCTTCTTAGAAATGTTTTAAATCACTGCTTTTGTAATGCACTTGTCTTTATTTCAATATCAAAGTTTGACTTAATATTTTGTTTTGGATATCATATTTATTAAACAAAAAATTACAATTGTATATGTAGAAGTTATAGAGAATCCCTGACATTTTAACAAGCCTCTATATGCATTAAAATTTGAAAACATAAAAATTTGAGACTGAGGTGTATTCATGCATGTATACGTATATAAAATATAAATCTTTGGATCCATGTATTGAATTGTAAGATCGTGTGACATTATATATATATATTTCATTTTTCATCATGTGTTCTTGTCTGTAAACATCTTGTCATGACACTAAGAAAATTATTTAAAATGGTTACTTTTTCCTAAGAGAGCCATTATAATCACCACAGAATTTACGAAATGCTGACTTGAACCGAGCCTGTTGAAATCCCTGTAACATCAACTTATTTATGATTAGAGTGGTAATTGTTTCGTAAAAGAGGAAGAACATAATAACAATGTTACAACATCTAGCGTAGACCACATGTCTACAGTACAGTATCTAGTGTTTTCTACATGTACCAATTATTGTGAACTCTTTGCCACAGATTTTAATAATAAGGCATAAAACGACAATTTGGGTAAAAAGAAAGGTTTTAAAGTATATAAAATAAGAATTAGCAAATTAGCAAAGGAGAAAAAAAATGGAAAGGAGATTTTATTCATTGGATGTAAATATTAGTTATTGAAATCGTCCTTTTTTACCGATAAGTAAAGTGATATCTTACTCTCAAATATTCAAGTCATGTACCTTTCCATTGTTTAATAAATGCGTGTATTACATGTAGTATGATATGCAATAAAATGACAACTCCATTGTCATTGTAACGATAATTTAGAAGAGAACAGTGTTTATAATTCAGTTGTATTTCAAGGAAGAGTTGAGGATTGCTAACAATTTTGCTGATCTCACGCTTAAATATTATCCAGTTTGCTTGTTTACAGTGTCAATTCTTTGATTAGTTTGAAAATTATATTCCCACGTAAAACTTTGATCCCCTATTGTGGCCCAAACCTACCCAAGGAGGTCATGATTTGGACAAGCTTGAATGAACACTAACATGTGAATTGTAGAGGTTCATTATGACTGAAATAATTATACCCTGAGTGGTATGTTTACTTGTCTCAACAAATCAGGTGAGGATTCAGTGAGTTTTCAAATTTTTAAACATAATTTATTCATTTTTGCATACTCTGACAACAGTCGTTTATTTCTAAGTGATTTAATTAAAAAAACTTACATGTTCTTGATTAATACGCGAGTTTCGAGATTGTAACTCTCCTGCGATAGAGGCGCAAAAAGTATCTATATGAGCGTGGAAGTGGGACAGGTTGTTAATGTATACAAACTTGCATAAATAAAAGAACGATTGCTATGGCTTTTAAAATTCATTTGATGTTATAAAAAGATGATAATGCTAAGGAGTGATCATTTTGATAATTTTGTAAAGCTCCTCTATATATATTTACAAAATTTATTTTCAGTTAGAAAACTTGAAAACGTCATAGTCTTTAAAAAAACTAATTCTTTGATTGTACAAACCTTTTCTAAAACGTTATTGGGCTCTTTGAATTTATTATAAGAGAAAAGAGTCATTCAGAATGCCGACGTACTATGATCAGGTGCGTGTGTATTTATTAAAGATCCATATAGATCTATTCCCTCGTTGGATGTTTTATCCACTGATATTTTCTTTTGTTCCGATTTTTATTTTCCTTTCTTCCGTTTTTTTTTCTCCGCAGAAAAAAAAATGAGCGCCTTTACTTTAATTCGGTAATAAGTATATCCTGACAATCAGTTATGACAGACCGGTATATCGACGATGTAATGTATCCAATATGAATAACTCTCCTACCTGCCTGCTTACGCGGAAAAAAAACTCCCCTCCGTAACGAAAGAGCGCATCAAGGGAGATAATCTCGAAACTTGCGTATTAGAGTTCCATGTGACATTTAAAACAAATCATGGAAGAGACCTCTGGCTGTGTCCTTTTTTAATCAGATGTATATCAAAGAAATGATTCCAAGTATATTTTTTGTGCATATCTGGGAAGGATATCATTCTATCTGCAGTATGAATTACACAGTATAAAAATACTTAAAAGTGTAGTTGATCAATCAAAACAGTTTTTTCTTATATTTTTCCATTTTAATTCTTGGCCCATATAGACGTCAGGAAGAGAGAAAGAAAAGGAGAGAGAGGAAACACCCCAGGTATAGCCTTATGCATTTAAAGATAAAAATGAAGCACCATTTCAAAACTGTATATCACAATCTGGTAAAACATGTATAAGGAGAAGACCGAAGTCCTGCTGAATTTAAGATATTCAGATGAATAAGATATTCAACTATTTTTCTAACTGTAACTTGGCGATCTTTCATAACAAATTACTCAACTAAGGACACTTCTCTTCCCCAGCTTGCTTTCACTGGACAACAGTACAGACATCATTTTTAACCATCTCCCTTCCTTCACTAAAACAATCAATCCAATTAATGACTGTTTCAAACTTCTGGTAAGTCTTTTGTCTTGATAAACCTTGTACAACTTATCATGACATCATTTTCACATTGTGACGTTACAAACATGGAGCAAACATTACATAACATCTGCTATTTATAGAACATGTGCATGACTATATGTGTGTCAAATTTCATTCTGATCTGAATTGTGGTTTTGTAAATATAGAGATAGTTCGCTAACTTTTTGATCACCCCTCGTATATCTGAATAATTGCCTGAAGCCACGAGTGTCATATACAGTCATGGGGGGGGGGGGGGGGCAGGTTGCCCCCATCCCCTTGAAAACGTTGCAATAGGCCTGTAATATTAAGTTAATGAAAAAACTGCTGTCTTCAAAATTCTGAGATTAATATTATCAAATAAAATTATTAAAAAATATATAAAAAAAATATTAAAATAATTATGCATCCGTCAAAGTGAATGCTACAATTCAGTCCCCCTACATATTTTCATTTTAAATTATTTCAATTGGTATTATGTGTAGCTATGATCATATTTTCAGCTGTCTTTCGGCACTTCTGATTTAAATTTAATTCATGTAACCTGTACACAGTCACAACTTCCCAGCACAAATCAATCACATTAGTTTGTTTTAATTACTTACCTCATTTTAATATCATGTCATATTAACTTCTTTCATATGTTATCCATATGTATGTACTTTCCACATATATTCCTGTTATTTGAGATACAATAAAAATCTTTATCTAAATGTTCACTTTTCAATAAGTTTCCATTCTTCTTATGAGCCTCAAAGAAGTTAAGATAAAAAAATATATTGATGTTTTACAAAACTATTTTAAATAGTAATTCTTACATGCACGCTACACGGTTTGCACGAAACGCTTTGGAGCTTACACGAAATTTGCATGGTTTACAAGAAACGCTGGACGGTTTGCACAAAACGCTGCACGGTTTACATGAAAATCTACACAGTTTGAAAGAAATGAAAATTGCATGAAAGTCACACGCCTTTTTTGGGTAGTAGTACTTTTCAGGGTCTGTAGTGCCATGATTACGTCAAAATTATCAGGCCCATAGGAAACAATTTCAGTTTGGGGGGGGGGGGGCACAACCAAACAATTTCAGGTTGGGGGGGGGGGGGGGCACTGCCAAACATTTTCAGTTTGGGGAGCACTACCAAAAATTTCAAAATTTCCTTGACAAGAAAAAAAAGTTATTATTGAGGGGGCATAAGCATATAGTAACTATGTTTTCTATAGTATTCTATATGTCGTAAAAATAACAAAGGGGCATCCCCCCGTGCACCCCCTCGGTTCATACGGCTCTGTTATGGATTTTGATTTCATATGACATGTTCGTTGACAATCTCTAGTTAGCTCTTCTGAGCCAAAAGCTCAAAGAGTTAATGCTATGGTTATTTGTGCGGTGTTTGTAAACTTTTTAGAATATGGGCCATAACTCAAGAACCCCATGGCCAATTATTGTCAAGTTTGTCAAAGGGTATCTTTGGCCCAATGGCTCCCGTTTATACTAAAACTAGGGTTCGCAGCACAGTTAAGGTGCCAGATGGAAATATCGGCGAATTTTTTAGATAGAAAATGCATTCTGTACAAGGATGGGCATTTCTTTTTAGGACTTTACTATTATCGGACAAATGCAATGTTGTTGAAAACTAAATGTTGAGGACGATTAGATTTCTTAAATTATTAAGACTTGTCACGTGATGTGGCAGTCACGTGATTTTAGCAAATATACCTGAAGTATTGAGGTCATCTATAAATTCTAATATCGCAAGGGCATAACCAAGTTAAAAATCTAAGTTTAACATATAATTATTTTCAACACTCTTTGTAGTTTGTGAAAAGTGCTGCGAACCTATATAGATTCTACTATCTAATTGCTAAAATTACATTTGTTAGACCGTATGCTGAATATTTTGCTGGTCAAGCACATTAAATATAGATATAATTATTTCATTTGCAAGATTTCAACAGGTTCGCAGCACTTTTCAAATATCTTCATACTTCTTGAGTTTATGTGTAAAAGCTTGTCATAATTCATTGAGGGTATGCCCTTGCAATATATCGATTTATTACGACCCTTCTCTTACCCTTCAATGAATCTGCATACAAATATACGACAGTGTCGCTTGTCTAGGGAATGTACGGGAAGTATATGAATAAAATCATAAAACAGACATCACATCCAAGTTAATGGCCTCTTATATATCTACAATTTATATTTTATTTAATTACAAAATACATTTTTCATTGTATAAATATAACTTGATCCACCTCTCACTGCATACAAACTGCATCAAATTTTCCGATATGACGTCACATTGACAAGTGCATTGCGATCAGTGAATTGTTTATATATTGCTGTGTATGATTTAACCAACGACAATAATGCATGTACTAGTTAGTATTGATATAGTTTAAAGCTATTCATAAGTTTAAAATAGCAAATCATTTCATTTTGTGGTAATTTGAAGAATTTATATTTTTGTGTGACGTCATAGTAAGCATTTCCCGTATAAATTAGGCCCCGTCTCCTTACTGCAGCCTTAACTGTGCTGCGTTGTGACCCTTAAACAAGGGGAGATAATAAGGAAACTAGAAACAAAAGTACTGGTTGTTAAAAAATCTTCTTCGCAAGAACCACCAGGCAGATTATCACCAAACTTACACAAAAGGATGAGGATATGTAGTAGATTAAAATTTGCATGGGGATTTACTCTGGGGCAAAGGGCGTGGTCTCAAGGTCATTTCAAAAATTGACCAAAAACTACATTTTATTAAAATGTTATTTTGCTTACTATGAGGACTAGGATCATCAAATCTTGTCAATTGATGCATCTACGGACCTCATATCATGTTGACTCAAAAGTAGGTCACGGTGACCTACTTTTTAAATTTTGCGGCCATTCCTTTTCAAAATGATTTAGAGACATATTTTGAACACTTTAACGCCTATGATCATCAAACTTTGTAAGTTGATGTATCTTGGGTCCTCAGAGTACGTCGACTAAAAAGTCGGTCACCTTGACCTACTTTTTGAATTTTATGGCTAATCTTTTTCAAAACAATTCAGGTCATTAATTCGAATACTGAGAGGTTTAGAATCATTAAATCTTGTAAGATGATGCATATTGGGGCCGTTAAAACATATTTATTAAAAAGTAGGTCACAGTGACCTACTTTTTGAACTTTGCAGGCTTTCGATTTCAAAGGGTTTTAGAGGCATGATTTGAACATTTTAAGGCCTATGATCATAAAAGTTTGTAAAATGATGCAACTTGGGTTCCTCAAAAAACATCAACTGAAAAGTAGGTCACAGTGACCTACTTTTCAATTTATATGACTATAATTAAATATTTCTGGTACTTATTGGCTTAGAATCATCAAACTTTTTCAGTTGATGCATCTTGGGTCTTCGGAGTAAGTTAACTGAAAAGTAGGTCACCATGACCTACTTTTGAAAATTTATGATTTAAATTAAATATTTCAGGTACTAATTGGCTTAGAATCATCAAACTTTGTCTGTTGATGCATCTTCGGTCCTTGGAGTACGACAACTGAAAAGTAGGTCAACGTGACCTATTTTTGAAATTTTATGGCTGTATTTAATATTATCGGGTACTATTTGGCTTAGAATCATCAAAATTTGTCAGTTGATATATCTTGGGTTTTGGGAGTAGGCCGACTGAAAAGTAGGTTACCATGACCTACTTGTCAATTTATAAGTCTATAATTAAATATTTCGGGTACTAATTAGCTTAGAATCATCAAACTTTGTTAGTTGATGCATCTTGGGTCTTTGGAGTAGGTCGACTGAAAAGTAGGTCAACATGACCTACTTTTGAAAATTTATGGCTTTGATTAAATATTTCAGGTACTAATTGGCTTAGAATCATCAAACTTTGTAAGTTGATGCATCTTGGGTCTGCAGAGTTAGTCGACTGAAAAGGAGGTCACTGTGATCTAATTTTGAAATCTTATGGCTTTATTCAAATATATAAAGTTCTTATTGGCTTAGAATCATCAAACTTTGTCAGTTGATGCATCTTGGGCTCTCAAAGTATGTCTTTTGAAATTTTAAGGTTGCAATTTTAAAAATATTTTAGGTATTAATTGGCTTAGAATCATCAAACTTAGTTGATGCATCTTGGGTCCTCAGAGAATGACAAGTGATAAGTAGGTCACCATGACCTACTCTCAGGTACTAATTGGCTTAGAATCATCTTGGGTTCTCAGAGTGTTTCATCTAAAATATAGATCATGATGACGTACGTTTGGAATTTCTAGGATTTATCTAAATATACAGGATACTTAGAGGCTTCAAATAGAAGTGATAGGTTGTATAGTTTATCAGAAGAGCGGTTCAAGGCCCTTGGGCCTTTTTTTTCTTTTTACGCCACACTGCCAAGGGTGTTCGATAATATTAAAATATAGAATATTTAATTGATGTTATAAAATTCAAAATAAAACACGATTTTTTTAAGTCGTCATTAGAAAACACTTCGTATACACGGGCTGCACAGACAAACTCAACGTTGTGCTAGATTTAGAACAACATCTTAAATAGGGATTTGGTACTTTTTATTAAAAAACCCAGAGTTTTAATTTTTACTTTGTGTAGTTCACGTCGTTGGAAAAATTGTTCATACTAACTTCAAATCAATGAACTACATTCCAATAATTTCCAGTTGTTTGAATAATTTCATGTATCTTAACTCTGACATCATTTTAGCTACATGTATATTAAATCAATTAAAACATATTTCCAACTTTGTTCCATTGGATTGACCGATGTAGCTTTTTTCTACCAATTTACGTGTGGGAGGAGTTGCGGATGAGAGAAGGGAACCATTAATTGTTACGCACATACGGGAGGAAAGACGGACACCCCCCTGCTTTTCATAAGAATGGGAAATATAGCTTTCCTTATTTCTAATGTTTGTTGTTTTTTTTTTTAATTTGAAGAATGGTCTACAGTTTTTTGTCAATTTTTTCCCCCAAACTGTTCATGTTCAACATTTTATCAGGACTTCAAATAGCAGTTAAAAAGCAGAATTGTTATTGTTTTCTATTTAACAGTAACAATAAAATATCCAAATTTCAATTTGACTAAGATATCTTTATTTAACCTGATACCTGATACATGTACATGTATGCATTACCAGTTATGTTTTAATTACTGTTTCGATGGAAATTTTCAATTACTTTATGTATCCTCTGAATATAAACAATAAAAATATTCCTCTATGAATCCATATACATAAGATAAAAGAAATATAATTTAATATCAATATATTCCATTTAATAATCTCTAGTTCTCCACATTCAAAGATATCATCCTGGTGGCCAGGTCATCTGTCTGCCTCCCATAACATGTATGTGTAGATGATGTACTGACTGAGCCCCATCTGGTCCATCGTTAATTACTGAGGGAAAAAAAGCAGAAATCAATAAATTATAAGAGAGAATGAAATGGATGATAAAGACAGATATTTTGAGCATGCATGAAATTGAAAAAAAATCTTTTTATTTATTCACATGTTGTCAATTTTGTGATTAAATTTTGATGCATTATTTCTGTGTATACATTTTTTTAACTCAGTTTATGTGTACCAAATATAATACTTGTATATATTTTACTTTACCTAGTCTATATCCATTTGATAGATTCTCTTGCTCTGCAACTTGTTTAGCAGTCAGTAAAAGATGTCCTAAAAGCTGAAAGAAGAAATTTCAATTGCACAAAATATTATACATATTATTATATATCAACATTTGTTTAATTACTTTAAGTCTAACTATTTCAAAACAACCAGGCCTGGCTCCGGCCATAAAACATAGATGAACTAAGTTTTGATCTCAGTCTGAGTTTAACAAAAGGAATATATAGTGGAAAAGTGAGACTGAGATCAAAAGTGAGCTTTATGGCCACGGGGCCTGATATGTGACTACACTTGATACATTTTATGAAAGTATTTCACAAAAAAGCAGACATAGACATGATATATAGCACAATTTATGTATTAAGGTCAAGATCTAGCAAATGAAAGGTACCTACAGATTTCTCAAATTTGAGAAATAAATTCCTTTAATGATGCTTTATAACTTTAGCTTGGTCAAATAAGGTGTTTCGGAGCATAATTTGTAGGCAAACAAGACGAAAAATCATTTTTTAAAACTATCATTTTTAATGAAAAATTAAGAAAACCTGTCATGAATACAGGAGTTTTTTCCAAATCAGACAAATGAAATGTATCCAGATTGCCTACAGTCTCTCAAAAAACGGTAATTTGTATGTTCTTGGCCTCTTCTTTAGAATAATATTAAATTGAATATAGGTATCGGGATTACTTTTCACATGATTTCAAATTGGATTCCATGAAAATACTTTATTTTTTCTACATAATTTTATGAGAGCCGTAAAGTACGGGAAAAAGAAAGTTGAAAATGATCATGACGTCATAATGGATCAAGCACAAAAAAGTTAGTCTAAAGTCATTTACTAGATCTTGACCTTAAGCTGATGGCAAATTCTATATTTCTTCTGAATTTTTAAACAGAAGTGAAGTGTAGATCAAATGTTGCTTTTCATGCTTACTTCAGTTTAAAACAATAAATATGTAGGAATGGATTGTGTAGATTGTGTAACTGTTTCAGATAAAAACTGATTGTAATTTTCAACTTAAGCTGATGAAGCATGAAATTCATGTCAGCTATATTCTGCCTCAAGAAAATAGAGTATTTCTGTAAGTACTATGTCAGTTTGGTTTTTGTATCACCTAAGATATGTTAAAACATCCCTACATGTATTGGATATAGAATGTTCTATTGTTAAATTGATAAATGTCCTATGGACCCATTTAAACGAGGGCCTGTTCTGAGACACCGTTAGATAAGTAATGGATATATGCCGAATACTGTTCTATATGTAAAATTATCAGACTGTTTGAGGCCCGTTAGGGCCGAAAACAGTCTGATAATTTTACATATAGAATTGTATGAGGCATATATCTTACTAAAACATTGCTATTTAAATGTCCAAAAGTTACCTGGAGGAGTCTGATAATTACACAATAGGAGTTCAGGCATCAATAGTTTTCTACCTGAAACCATCTAATAAGTAGACAAAAGAAAAAAAGAAAGTTTTTTTCTTTCTTTAGACAGTAAAATCAGCGAGTGAACTCTTTTGTTTCATTCATTCATTCAATGGCAGTCGTTTGGCTTAGCAGGAACTATGGACAGTGATCAGGTGATGAAGGAATTTTTTTTTTATGATTCGGAATATTTTTTTCTTTATTAAGTGCGTTTGACATTGATACAGATACAGTGTTGGACGATATCTTCAAAATGCATTTAAAGTAAAAATGCGGATTTTTATCTAAAATTTTGATTGGATGATATAATGAAAATCTTGGGTTTTAAAAGTGCAGTCATTCTCGAACAAACCTCCTTAAATGAAGAGATTCGCAGACTGGTTCTTTATCAGAAATGGATTAAATTGGCTTATTCACAGTGCTGTATCGAAAACGCTCTGCAAAAAAAAAAAAAAAAAAAAAAAAAAAAAAAAGAATGGAAAGTGTTACTTTTCAGGAAGGTTAAAATTCCAGTTTCTTCTTGGATTTGCTATTTTTAACAACTTAATTTCCTCGCTTTCGCTTACCCTGAATTTTTTCTCCCAAACTTTTTTGGGGGTTTCTGGACAAATTAAATCTTGATTTCACTCTAGTTGTTGTTTTTTAACTACTGTCCGATTTTATTATCACTGCCGTCCGATAATATATTATTGGACTGTTAATTATTATTATCGGACGGCTACAGGTAAATTTTTAGACTGCAAGAACAAAGGCATGACGTCAAAGCAATGTTTTAATTCTAAATATATACATTTGTGGTATCTCTCTATTATATAAACATGCAGAGAGCAAATATCTTCATACCTCTATGAAGTTTTTCGAAGGTCATAGGTCATTACGTGACCTAATCACACAGCGCAATAATATCTAGACATAAAAAGACTTACTCCACTAAGCAATATAGCATGTTTTTCATGCATAAAAATGTACAAAATACGCAAGTAAAGTAATAATCATTTTATTTACAATGTAAACGAGTATTTAATACCGTTCTTGATCGATTTTACATAGAGAATAGAAAACTACGTGTTATAAGTTTCATGTTTGAGCTGCATAGTATCAACGTTTACCCTTATTTTTCTCGCAGACCTCTGAATGCTATTATTTTTTTTCCATTAAACTTTACTCACAATAAATTTGAAAATCTGTTGAAAAATATCAATGTAATGCAATCACGCCACAAACAGCTGACAAACACTGCACTTTGGAAGTTCGGTAGGCACACCTCCATCATCGAGATCGTTGTGACGTTGTCTTAACAATGTAAGCTGTCGCCAGTGTCTCCGTGTCAACACCATAAATTAATAAATATGCCTTACTGAAATCGTAGATTTTATGTTTTTGATCAAATTTTGTACTTGATTTCAAGTTATCTGGTCCTGACAAGTGTCTCCATCCATCCCTTTCCGACCGAAATTCCTCCAACTTTTTAGTATGCAACATCGGACGTGTTTCTTGTGTTTTTTAACATCGAATATGGGTTCTCATGAATACAAAAATTCCCAGACACCAATATGCTCACTATAACAATTGATCACATGTAGCTCTCACAGAATATTCCCTTCAAAACAATCCTTTGCCAGATGAATTTGAAGCGTAACCGCTTTTCAAGCCGATTTACACCTAGCGTAATTTGTCAAAATCTACGACGTACAGTTAGTGCAATATTTATATTCGATTACATTCGATTGTCCGTCTCAAATGTATATATAAGTAATAAATAACAAGTTTAAAAACTTCAATGGGAATTGAAGTGGGTCGGTACGTGATCAAATCTTCTGAGAAGGCCTTCGGCCTTCACAGGATTTGATCACGTGACCGACCCACTTCAATTCCCATTGAAGTTTTTAAACTTGTTATTTATTTCTTAATTATACATGTATATTATATATATATGCTGTTCTTTAATGATAAGAGTCAATCACACATTAAAAGTCAATCAAATGAAGTAATCAATGCATGCTTCATACAAAGCACAAATGGATAAGGATGTACCACAAGTTTAAGGCTTATTTTGATACCTAGTGGAGAATGGACATGTATGTACAGTTTGACCTTCAAACAAGCCAGTGAGCATAAAAATAGGCCAATGGACCACTACACTCAACTGAGAAGTTTTAGCCCCGCTGTTCTTCTTCAGATTGCCAAAAAAGAGTTTAACATTCCCATGAAAAATATTGACCCCATATTATAACCCACTCTAACTCTACAGCTCTCTGAATCCATACAATATGATCAACTTGACCTTGCAGTTATTGAGAAGAATTTTTCCCCTTTATAAGGTAAATAAGGTAAATAAATTTGATCCCTGTCTTAGTTTACTCTAACCAATGGGGCATAAATTGAAAAAGAAAATGGATCCACTCAACTTGGGAATGTTTGCATATACATGGCACAATTTTTTTTTTTTTTTTTTTAAATTTTAATCATTTATTTGAAAACAAAACATCACACACATGTTACATACAATGCACTGATTTGATTTTTTGAAAGATTTCTATCTGCCATTTATAGAGTCATGTAGAATAATCTATCACAAATTATCAAAATGAGAAAGAAAAAAAAAACAGACAAAAAAAAGCTAAATATTATATGTATAATATTGTATAATTATGTACCCTGTTATATCTGGGAGACCACACCTCCAGCACAGATACAGTCTATTAATTGTCTCCCTGATAAGATTTGTAGAACAACAGGCTTATTCTTCAATGGGTTAATGATTCATAATTTGTCTTTAATACATTTTATGACATTAAAATATTTTTTATGGTGAATTTTCATATATACTTCAGAAAAAATATTCAATATACTCTTAATATGATAACATATTTCTTGAGGCTTTTCTTGTTTGTTTTCTAGTCTACAGTACATTTTGTATTTGTAAATTTTACAAGCAATCAGGGATATTATGCTATTCAAAAATAATATCTTTTCATTTTTTTCATTATAAAATCCAATAACAATATTTTTCCATGATATATCAAATTTCAAAACTTGCTGGACAGTATTCCATATATGAGAAACATTCTGACATTTTAGAATAAGACGTTCATTGTTATCTTTTACATCTTTACAAAAACACACATTTCATTTTCAACAATTTTCCATTTCTTCAACATTTCTCTATTACATAGTAAGTTATTTTATAATCTATAATTGAAGTCTGATATGCCTCTATCTGCAATAGCTAATATTTTTTGTTCATATATAGATTTCCAAGCAGTTTTTTTTGAATTTCAAACATTTTTTCATAGTAATATTGATATAACGGAGGTTTAAATTTATCATGACATAGAATGTTATAGATCAATTTTGAAGTAATATCATACAATTTAACTTGATGTTGGTATAGTAATTCATATGAAGTATTCTCATACATGAGGTTTTCATACAGTATATTTGTAAATTCATGATCTACAAAAGCTTTAAAAACTGCATTTTTCATTATCACATATTCACAAATCCAGTTTCTCTTACATACAAGTTTATCATAAAACCATTCTATAGGTTGCATACCATTTTTGTCTACAATATCACCAATATATTTAAATTCACTTTTCAGCCAATTTACAAAACACAGTG